CTTAAACAATAGGCATACAGTTAAATGCTTTTATTCCAAAAATTGCTTTTCTTTAAAATTTTAAAAAATGTCAGTTATGTACTTACAGCTAGTTAACTGACCCAATTAGTTGCAGTTTCTGAGAAACAATATTTAATATTGGTATACTTGCAGTAACCAAATATATAAAAAAATAATAAAATAAACATAAAAATACCCTAATGGTAGACATATATTATTTTATCCCTGGCGGATGGACAGCAGGCACCCGAGAGTCTCAGAGAGATCTGAAGCATCTAAAAATATTTCAGCACTGGAGCGCAGCTTGATAACACTGTATTTCTTTACACAGGGTGAGAAACAGAGCAGCAGAATAAACAAACCGGAAAATAACAGAGAGGCTTGGCTTACTTTACCCATAAAGTTTGGTGGAGTTTGAATCAAGCTCCTTCTTAAATAGGATGATAAGAAGGCATGTCTTGGTAACCAGTTAAATTTATTAAGCATGTTATCTGATAACGTTAACATGGCTTCATGCAGTCACACAAAAAATTGAATTTTCCATTCCATCTGTTAGCAGCTCAAGGTCAGATATTAATAATTGCTGCCTGTCTTGTGAATGTTTAGCACTGGCTCTCACTGACCTGCTGTAATGATTGAAATCTGTTTTAGCTACAAAGCTGAAATTGACTTTAGTGCAGTGATACCAACGGGACTGAAGCATGGGACAAACCTTCACATTTAGGGCCCCACATTATTTAAAGGTGCAGTAGGAGATCTTGGAAAATGCTAACTTTAGCCTGTTAGCACTGAAAGCGAACTTCCCACCCTCCCTGCAATCGCCGTCCAAAGCCACGCCCCCTGAACACATTTACGCTCACAGACCAGAATACCAGAGACAACATTACTACAATAGGCTACATCAGCAGTTCCCAATTCCAGCCCATGTTCCGAAGTGAAGTAAACTTCAACGGATTTCCCCCACTCAGCGCTCAGGGAGTAGGGAGCAATGAACACTGTGTAGGGATCATATCGATCGGAACACAGTTCATGCACGTAGCTCACTTCTAACGAGCTGGTTATCTGAATGGGGTGTATTAACTAATGCCGAGTTCACACTGCACGATTTTCAAAGACGTCGTATCACTGTTGGTTTCACACTGAACGACTATCTGGGGTAGCATTCAGTTGTTGCTGTGTTCACACTGCACGATGGAACGACGACAGGAGGTTACACACTGCATGACTTTACAATAGGAAGAATCGCG